CGGCTAACCCCATTTGTCCATGTCTATAAGTACACTAGTACCGCTCTGCAATCAGAGAACCTATGTTAACAGTACGTGATTCATGAAGGTGTCCTCTGGACTACACACTGATGCACTTCTACTTCGCTACCAATACATGTCTATGTCGCGATTTAGTAAATTAAAAAAAAAAATATATATATTTTTTTTTTGTATTTTTGATAATCGATTATTTGTTTTCATAATTGATTATCGAATTTGAGACTATAATCGATCGATTTTCGATTATAATCGATCATCGGGACATCACTAATTAACGTTATCATGGATATGGGTCGAGCGCGAGCATAGTGGTGGAGGGGGGGCTTTAATAGCAAAAGCAGTTCAGTCCTTTGTTAACAGTCAACAAATCTATGTTTAACCCTCCTCTTGAGGGTCAAAAGGTTATCAGACACTTACTATTCGCACGTCAGCGGAAAGTAGATTTCAGGGTCCTTTCAATAAAGTGATAAAAATGGTAGGTCAGCGCTGAAACAAAAAAGTTTTGCACTCGGTCCGTTAGACCATGTCGTCAGAAAATGTCTGATATCTGACCTTTCCCCCACTGCCCTTTGACCTGTGACCGCCAATTTCGCACTGGTGCTGGGTTTCCTCCCCATCACACTACGTAGGTCTACGTAGGGAAATATTCCCCCTCCATTGACACATCTCGACCTTTGACCCTTGACCCCCAAATTCGACACCCCCAGTCCTTTTCGTGAACCACCCCCGATGTCCCGAATATCAAGACCGTACGTCGAGCGGTTAAGATTTATGCCCAACTGTTGATGGACGCACGGACGGACGGACAGACAATCATGCGATTCTGCAAGCTGCATCTGACTTCGTCAGCCGAGGTAAAAATTTCTCAGAAAGGTCTGGACTGAATCTAGATTTGACTGATTAGATTAGATTAGATTGGATTGGACTGGATTTTGATTAAGAATGCAATTCATTGAATGGCATATCAGTTATACATCTACGCATTCAAATTTAGCAGGGCTACTCTAATAAGGTCATGTGTCCCCCATACCTGGGTTATCATCCCTGATGGCAGATTTCAGCAACCCCTTTGCATCCTCAGAACTCCACGGAGAGACGACTTTCAGGCCCGGACAGTGGCTATACCATGCAGCAAAGCACTGAGAATGTTGCGCGCCTACACCAACCGCAGCACCATTTGGACCTCGAAAGACGACCGGCACATTGATCTGCAAAGACAGATGTTCATTATATGTGACCAGAAACCGAAATTACGCCCATTCAGTTTTACACAGATCACTACAGGTAGGAAATACATTGAGTGAATATATAATATCTTCATTCATTCATTCAATTCATCAATATATGGAGGTGGCATTTTATTTTTAACCAGGCGATAGCATAAAATAGTTTTAATAGAAATATTTAAACAAGTGCCGCAGTGCGACAGGGCTCATCTGGTGTCTGGTGTTCTGCTGATAAATTCATTTGTGCATAGCAAGACGTCTTATACATTAGTCTTGTTTATTCGTGACTTTCGTAGCCAATTGGAACAAATATATCAGCTACACTTTCGCACCCACCTAATCTCTATGCATCGCAGACACATGTGCATTGCAGGTTGGCAGGCAACAATTATGATTAGAAGCGTGCCAGCCATGGACTGCCCCGTGTTTTTGCCTACCCAAACGAGCATTCACTGATTCAGCCTTCTGGGTGCTATAGACGAACTGCTTTAGAAAATAATATGATTTAAGGAGCGTAAACCTTGTTCAACAAACATTTGCCTTTGCAATTAAACTGTACATTTCACGGTCCTTTCAATAAAGCCGTAAAAATGGTAGGTCACCGCTGAAACAAAAAAGTTTTTCAATCGCTCCGTCAGACCATGTCCTCAGAAAATGTATAAAATCTGCCCTCTGCCCCATTGACCTTTGACCTGAGACCTTCAATTTCGGCACAGTGACGGCTTTTCCTACCATGATGCTATACACCGACTATCACGGGCCTAGGTCGAGCCGTTTAGATTTGTGCCGCAATTCTGCATTTCCTCAGTATACCTTAAGTTAAGGAGGGAATGTCCCCCCTTTTTTTACACCTCTTGACCTTTGACCTTTGACCTTTGACCCCCAGCTTCAACATCCCAACTCGTTTTCGGATTTCCCCCCCCCCCGTCCCGAATATCATGACCGTACGTCGAGCGGTTAAGATTTGTGCCCAACTGTTGACGAACGGACGGACGGACGGACGGACGGACGGACAATCATGCAATTCTACAAGCTGCACCTGACTACGTCAGATGAGCTAAAAACTACTACATTTATAACACTTATATAACAGTAATCCCCAGGAATTTCAGAAGGCATGTCAGGCCAGCTTGCCAATTGGAGTAAATTAAGCATGTCGAAAGTTGCCATAATATACAGATAAACTTAAACAGTTCAGAGTAGTATACATCAAGCTGTGAAAACACACTGTGATGCGATTGTTAAAATCATAGTTGGAAATTTAGGCATGTCGATTAGGCAATTATGGCATGCTGGAAGATTCTTGGGCTGTCACAAATTAGCTTCAGCTTTGAATGCATGTTGGACCTGACATGCGTTAAAAGCCTGATGGGAGGAGAACCCTTGTGAATGACTCACGTTAAGGATCCAAACACTTGCAAGTGTATTACATAGATGAATTTTTTTTAAATGCATGCAATGTCATTTCTTTTTCTAGATTTCCTTATGCTGCAGCAATATACTATATTAATTATTATGAAACAAGTTCGATACTATGACAATAGTACTATTTACAACCATAGCCTTCCTACACTAACAATAAAATACATTGTTATTAAATTTACAAACTACATAATTGATATATAGACGGTAAAAAAGTATTGTATTGTAGAATTATATTTCTTCATTGTCGTACATTACAAATATTACAAACAATATGATACACTCACCAATCCTGCTGACATATAGTGGGTCTTTGATCCTGAATTAATAACCTAAAACATTAAGTAATTAATCATTAATCAGAAATTTATAACCAACATACACCTACCACCTATTTTACATAGACAAAATGACATAATTTAATTATCTGTACCACAGGAACTTTATTAAATATTATTCAGCTTGCAAGCTACTTATTTTGTATATTTGTTAGCAACTTCTAGCTTATTAAAAGGTCGCAAAACTTCCAGTATGACAGAACTGTATAACAATCTAAACTGTTCAAATGGTCATACCTGGTCTATAGCCTGCATTGAGAAGTTGAATGTCATAAACTCACAAATAGGCCTGAGACCATTCATAGCCGCACCAACTGCTAGCCCAGCAAAACCGCTCTATGAAAAAAACATATACCAGATTAACCACACAAACTATTATATCATGAACAACACACTTACATCATTCATATGATCATTTCATACAGGGAAAATTACCAAATGTTAAATGTTGCACATAACTCAGAATATCCAAATTCTAGTAGATAGAAAGTATCTCAAACAAAAGTATCGAATAAATATACTTAAAATAACACGAATTTGGAATAATTCATACTGTGTGCACAAATCTATTTCACTGCTTGAAGCAGGTAGATAGATATCACTGGGTACATAACCACATAACTTGATATTTTTCACTTTGAAGAAACTACATCATTTCATGATGAAAATTTTGAATACCTCTGTTATTGGAGTATCAATCACCCGCCCATCTCCATATTTTTTCCACAGCCCTCTGCTCACCTAAGAAATGACAAAAAAACACTATGAGAAACAACAAGCATTGTGGTGGCATTGTCTTGAAAATAAGAGCACACAACTTGTAGTTGCAAATGTGATAGTGTGGCCCCATTATAACACGATCGTTGAGGTCCATAAAATAACATCGCAAAAAAGCAAAAAATATCGTTCGGTTAAATAGCATTTAGGTATAAATAGAATTGCACTTTTGTGATTAGCCATCAGTCTGTAACGTGCAAAATAAATGGGGAAATGCGCAACTTTTTCAGGGTGGCAGCACAATCACGGGTGTCATGTCAGCACCCAAAAATAAAGATTTCTAAATTCAATGTTCTTTTGTGACAAACGTGAATGCGTAATTATAGAATTTTTGTAGGTATACGCTATTATTTATGCATTTACTATCGTAATATACTCTAAAATTCTAGGGGAAAGTAACCCTTAAATGATAATTAATGACAAAACTGCAACATTTACCCAAGTATTTTTCTGTGATTTCATTGATGATCATTAGTTTTAGTGATCTATACTGTTTACAGTAATACAGTATTACACATACAGTATAAATAATTTTGAAAGGTAATGTCATTGTATGCACCTAACATTAAAGGTATATGAAAATATTGATGCACAAAATAATAATAAAAAACACTAAGGACAGACAATAACCTCTACTTACTTAGTATTTACTTGCTGTTTTAGCACATGTATGTGACATTGTTGTATTAATTACCTTGTATGCACCATCATACTGGGCCACCTCTTCACCCATCAAAAACACATTGGGATCCCTGTTCATTTCCTCATCTATTGCTGCATTCAATGCATCTCTGACAGTCACCTATCAATAGAGATTAGTTAAGAAGAAGAAATGAATCAACTACCCTTGAGCAATCAATTTCTCATCATAATCCAGAAATCATTAATAGAAATATGCACTACACTTATAATGCACACAACACTGAGGATATACTCGAGCTCTTGCACGAATATTGCTCTAATGAAGAGTAAAAGGTTCCCTAATGAATCTAAACAATCACGTTTTATTTATAGATGAGATGTATTTCTATGCTCAAGCTGAAAAATTTCATGAAACTTCTAGCACCTAAGTATGTGACAACACAACTTTTGAATTTTTATGTAAAAATAGTATTTTGGATATTTCTCAATTACCATAAGGAGTGTGAAAGAAAAACATTCTCTACAAGTTAAGAACAGTATGAACCAAAAAAGTGTCTCAGTATTTTTCTTTAAGTTTCACATTTACCAAAAAAAATGAATAAAACTGCCTAAAATTTATGTCTTAAGCACGCTTTCTCAGTAATGCAAGTGTCAAATCAAATTATTCTGAGTTGTAATGATAGAGAAATTTATCCATTTATCTCTGTGGCTACTGTGGCAGAAATCGAAATGGAGATATCAGCATTTTTTCTACTTTTGACAATGATCGACTGCCTGTGTGCAAAATGGGTGAACGTATGTGAAACATCTATTGTTAGTACTTACTGTGACATATCCATGACTAACTGAAACCACTGAATTGGTAAAATGTTCTGTGCACCTTAAGAAATTGTGAGAATTACGAGGTTACCATGTACACGGGCAATCAAAACGCTCTGAAGGTTCACATGCATCGTTATAAGGAGAAATGAGTACATGTACAGAGGTGGCACCTAGTGTTGGCCTTCACATAAGAATGAAAATGAAAAATCGGTCAAATTTCGTATAAAATCTTGACTATATCCTTAACTCGTTTCACTGCCACAGCACAAACCTTTGCTGTCAAAACCCGGTTTGTACTGAATTTTCTCCTCCTGCATGTTGACAGGAAAACCTAAAAAACAACAATGAATTTACCCATATATAATCACATTGCAATTTAAATAGGTTTAACCAGAATATATTGTATCACAATTACCATAAGAATCTACATGAATAACTCTAATAATTTTCAGTTGCATTGTCCATGCCACATATAAACAACAAGACAAATTTAGGTTATCAGTTACAATTAATCCCAATATAACTGGCATATACTATTATGAAGAAATCTATTAGGTACATGTATTGAGTTTATAGCCACTCAGAAATGAGAAATGTTGATCTATTGTTTAGAACTTTAGATCTTAGTAACAACATTGAGATCCGTTGTTTGTTAAACTTTGATATCAATATTATTTTGAACATATATGTATACTGTGATGACGACTACAGACTCACAGTGTTTACAATATTCATGGAATGATAGCTATTGCTACTTGTTAAAAGTTTTGAGCAATACATTTGAATTGTTTTAAAATGTTATGTAACCATATAAAATATACTAATGTATTATGTCAGGATTGAATGATAATCAAGTATTGTGTAAGTTTAGATTATTAAAAATCCAATGTTCGTTAGGCATGATCTACCTATGATATATTATGTTAAAAATTCAACAAACATGAGCTCAAAATCTACCTCAAACAATCCCCTACTCATGTTCTTATTCAGTACATAATCTATGCACACTCACACTCTGCAGATATGGATAAGACTGCACGTCAGGGTCTTTAAAAAATTTCACTGTAAAATCAGTTTCACGCAATTAATTTCAAACAAGACTATTTGCGCATGCAGCGCCGTCCATCAGTCTTTATTACAGTTCGCCCAAACAAGTTAACAATAATATCAGACTGACAAGTGACAACATGTCATTATAATCTTTATTTGTGACCTTTGGACCTATTCAAAAAAATGTTACTATGAGGAAGTTACACTGGAAGCTAACGATACAAAGCGTGTATACATTGTGACCATGACCTCGTGTAACACTAACAGGAGGATTAATGAATAACAACAACAATCAGACTGTTGTTACTGTTAGTGTTATGTTTGACTTGATTAATTCTTAAATTTTTACGTAATTTGGTGTGATCCAGATGGCTTTATAAAGAATATGTTCCGATTCCGATTCTAACAGCTTCATCAAGTTCATGCCTAGCCTAGGTCAGGGCACAATCCATCAATCAACAATGAATCATAAGGCGGAGCATTTGGACGTATTAAAGGCATAATTCGACCATCGATTATGCAAAGTTGACGAATGCTACAGTAACTGGCACCTTGTGTAGTTAATAAGTACATTACCTTATAGCCAAACGCGTATTAGTTTGTCCAATATCACTGCTAATTACTAAGAAATGTCTAATTGAAATCCGTAAATTTGGTAATCTGGCGACAACGCTAAATTTATTACTAACAAAATAAACATCGAGTTCGGTTCGGTGACGTCACATGTTGCTACAGGATGTTGAGCATAGAATTGTTTGTCCCGGGTAAATTGTTTGCCTAGTGTTATTATTTGCCTAGTTGCCACATATTATATGTTACTTGTAATCTCAAGAACTTCGTATATTCATTTATTCCCGAATCCCAAGAGTAAAACCATAACGTACGGAATGCGCACTCAGACTACAAGGATCGAAATCACTGACGGCCGAGCATACGTGCGAAAATGTCCGGTGCACTATAATCTGTATGACACCGCCTCGCCGGTTTCGGCCGGTTACGGCCGGCATGGCGGTTTGTAACTGTCAACAACCGATTTCTTGGACTGCGGATTTCAATTAGACATTTCTTAGTAACCAGCAGTGATATTGGACAAACTAATACGCGTTTGGCTATAAGGTAATGTACTTATTAACTACACAAGGTGCCAGTTACTGTAGCATTCGTCAACTTTGCATAATCGATGGTCGAATTATGCCTTTAATGTTGTGTTATGTTCTCGTACTTGTCGGTGTCCACTACACTGGATATAATGACAAGGTAGTAAGTGCCTTCAGGGATAAACCCAATAAACAAACAGGTACATAATGATGATGTGAGTGCAATGCAACTGGTGTCCTCTTAAAGTGGGTTCGCGTGCATGTGGTAGCGAAGCCTTGGCGTAGGCATAGGAGTACTAATAGTAGTAGTACTACCATTAAATCGTTCAGCAAGATGTGATTAGGCTTTTGCATATATAACGTATAAATTTGGGGATGCTTAGCCAGGTTACGATTCAGTGTAGAAATCGTAGAGAACAAGGTCCTTGGGGTTGGATGATAGGGGTCAGCGACAGCCTAGACAGTAGACTAGAGGGAGAGTGCTCGTTTCGAATGCCGTTATTATCTTCTGCCAAGCTAAAACAATATTGTCACGAGCCTCGCGTTAGTGGTGGTGGGAAAGCGTACTTGCGCCGGACTACATTAAAAAACACCACGTTATTTATATTATCGGAGAGGCCATTAAACCGGCGTTTATTACCTTGCAAGAATTAAACAAGTTTAGTCTGCCTGCCATTTTGAACGGTCCCGCAGAAACTAGCAATTTCAGAATTGATTTGACGATTTTAGCAAAGGCTATTACATATATACAACTTGTTTATTTACAATAAATTTTATTTATAGAATTTGAAAGGTTTATTGTCGGCAGAATTAGTACAACCATATTTTGCAAAATTGATAAGTTGATATATTCCACAAATCACACACAAGTTCTATGCTGATTACGTCACAATCCGACCTTCGCTGTCCTCTTCCGAAGCGAAATTCTGAAGCCCGATTTCGTTTTTCTGGTAAGACAAAGTAAATCATTATCTTAATAACCTCATAGATATTAGTCTTAACAAAAGTACTAGGGACTATAGCGAAGACGTAGAGAGAAGTGGATAGATCAACACTGCGGATTGCAGTGGAAAAAGATGCAATTTTGCAATTGCAATGCCAATCCCCCAATGCCATGGCAATGCCAATGGCAATGATGAAGCTTGAAGGAAGAGACTTCCAATACGGAATGACAGGAACCTATTACCTAAGTCTATAGAACTTTACATACTGAATTATACATATGTGATCTGCTTTTTCTCATTCAAGCGGTATAAATTACAGTATCATGAGTATGTGATCACAGTAGGCAAGGCTCGACACTAACTTTTTTTTCCAGTGGCCCGATCGGGCCACCAAAATCATTGATTTTCAATTTTTGGTGGCCCGAAAATGAAATCTGGTGGCCCGAAAAAAAACAAAGAAAAACATTATAAATCTTTATTTCAATCTCGTATTGTATATTATTTGAAAATTGGGCCGTCTGATGCACTTGCACAAGTCTTTAAACAAACCCCACACAATGGCACACACTGACATTGATGATTGAGGCATACATTTGAATTATCCATTCCACGGCATCAAATTTTCACCAGAACCGCATTGTCTGGTTCGCTTGATACAATGTAATCACATGTATGCTGGCGCTTGCAAAAATGCTATGGCCTGCGCCCGCTCAGATTTTGACCTCTGGCTAGACTGGTTCGCGGCCGAACTGTTCGTCGCAGAGCGTGTACATTGTCTAGCAGAGCGTGAGGCCGGATACCAGTCTAACACAATAACGTGGCTTGTTGCAGCCGCAGTAGACGGATAAACCGTGCGCCCGTGTATGCCCGCGGTAGAATGCTGCACGTGCGTACGTGTGCCCTCGCTCCGCGAATTGCTCGCTCTCTTTTGAATGAGATTAGCACGTAAGAAACAATTATTTTGATCACATAGACACTTTGAAATTTTAGTGGCCCGTACGGGCCACCAAATTTTAACTTTTGGAAATTTTGGTGGCCCGACATCAAGTTTTGGTGGCCCCGGGCCACCGGGCCACCGCTAGTGTCGAGCCTTGCAGTAGGCAACTCACATTGGAGTGAGGTTATCACGCACGAAGGGTGATGCCATCTTTGATCGCCATCTCGCGGCAACTGCTTTTGCTATTAGAGCCCCCTCCCCCCACTCTCCCCCCACCACCACCACTACGCTCGCGCTCGACACATCCATGATAACATGTTAATATAGCGAAGGTCATTCAAGCTACACAGCTGTATCTTTATTACTGTACTACCGGTATAACAAAGCCTAGCTATCATAGATTTTAGATCTGTATTAATTAGTAGTATCCTAGATATATGCTCTGAGCGCGAACGTGGTGATGGAAGGGTGCTCTTCATTCGTTTGCCAGTGAGTTTAGCATCAGAACGCCTGCCGTCAGGTGAGCGCTGTCGCTCTGCGGCACTTGTTAATAAAACTAAAGAAACACTGTGATACTACTTAGTAGTCTAATATATATCTATTTCATTTATTCAGTCATATCACTGATAGGGCTGAATGGATATAGATGAGCCATATTATAATTCAGTCTTATTGCATTTTTGTAGCAACTTCATGCTTTTAGTAACTGCATTTATAGTTTTGATAATTTATTTTACTTATAGAGAACCACCTGCAACAAGGAAAATGGTATTTCAAGGGTTATTCGAGGCTGCTGCAAGGCAAAATTTATTCTCCAGCCCTTTAGTCAATGCACAATGTCAAGCAAGTGTACATGCTACGGTACCTCATACGGACATGGTTCCACAGAGAAATATTGCTGCAGCTGCGACCAGTGTACCTAACGAGAGTAAGCAAACTCAAATAGATAATTAAAATAGTGAATTGCTTTACTTTTATGAGTATATGGCCATAATAACTCTTTAGATCAATTAGAATAATCCATGTGGTAGGTCTCACTCTTGCAAATGTGTTGTGGATGTTGTTTGTGCGCGCATCTGTTAGTTCATGAATGATTCCTGCACAAGCTTATGTGATGGTACATATATGTGCGAGATGAACTTCCCACGAACAAGCTGCACTATGCTTTCTTCTCTCTTTTTATAGATAATCAGTATATAAGATGATCAGAGTTCGATGTTACAATTGTTGCTCCTTATAATAAATGTATATTATGTAATATTTAATATATATTTCCTCATGCATCAGGTGTATATTTTATGGATCCCTACTCTACACCGGAATTGGATCAACTGTCCCGTGGCCATGTTAGATTTAATGTAATTCATGATTGTCTTGTTGTGTGCATGTGTAAATCTGTCTGTGATTGTGAAGAAACCAACAATCTGAATAAACAGTTGGAATATATATATAGCGTACTTAGATGGCATAAGCTGAATCTTTCTCACGTACAGTACATGCATATTATTTTCCGGTTATATCTGGTTATGCAAAAATTGTCTGCCATCTATCAATGTAAGCCTGGTGAGAGCTGTAACAACTATTCATCAAATGTACTTTGTTCTGCAGACAGTTGTGAGTTTGGATCAACAAAGTTTTACGTATTGTGTGGATTGGGTGGCATACTCAGCTGTGGAACGACGCACACAGCAGTTGTTCCTCTGGATCTTGTCAAATGTCGTATGCAGGTTGATTCAGGTAACTATCATCTGCTAATCCCAGTGTGTTTTACCTCGAGTCTTGTTCGCTTATTGTGAGTTGCTTTCTTCAATATTGAGCTGTTATGGTAGCCCCCAACTGTCGCTCATAGGGTCCATGTCCCCCAGGGTACTGCCGGAACGTACCCTGGGTACGGTTCGGTATACCTGAACGTACCCTGGTAACTATTTGATATGGTTAGGGTTAGGGTTAGGGTTGGGGTTAGGGTTAGGGAGTAGGCGTAGGCAACTCCCTAGACTCGTTAGTGGAGTAGGCGAGGTACGGTCCGGCATATTAGATAGTACCAGGGTACGTTCCGGTATACCGAACCGTACCCAGGATACGTTCCGGCAGTACCCTGGGGGACATAGACCCTCTCAGCCCAACTGTCTACTGCATGGTGACTTCATAATAGTATAGCGCACATTTTGTTGTATCTTCCAGCAAAGTATCCAAACATGTTCAGAGGTTTCCGAGTTACTGTTGCCGAAGATGGTTTTCGTGGATTAGGCAAAGGATGGGCACCAACATTCTTCGGGTACTCTATACAGGGTCTAGGCAAATTTGGCCTGTACGAAGTATTCAAGATTTACTACTCAAATTTGATAGGAGAGGTGCGTATATATATGTAGCTAAGGAACACTCATTTTCCATCAGTGCTCTGTTCACATACTCAGTGCACTTAATCCTGATATTGTATGAGTGATGACCTTTGTATTTATCTAACAGAACTTGCAGTATAAAATAATAGTTGTGACACTTCTGACATTTAGTATCACCATCTTAGAAGGCCATTTCCCTTTTGAATATTTGCAGGTCCTTCTTTTTAGTATCAACCTAGATTTATGATGCTATAAGCATCACGCATAATGCACTACTTGCAGTGTCTTATACACAGTGTAAATATTTACGTGGAGTCGATTAATAATCTCAACATAAAATCAGGGGTTAATAATGACAAACTTGTCATTATTAATCCCTTATCAAATGGATAACGGATCAATGGATCAATGTCCGTGTGCCTCCCACTTGCATTGTTTCTGCTTTCCTGGCTTCAGGAGTACAGTTTTCTCTGGAGAACGAGTTTGTATCTGGCTGCCAGTGCGTCAGCCGAATTCTTTGCTGACATGGGTCTGGCTCCCTTCGAAGCCGCAAAAGTGAGAATTCAGACCCAGCCAGGCTTTGCTAACACACTGCGGGAGGCAATGCCAAAGATGTGGAAGGACGAAGGCATTATGGCGTAAGTCTCATCCTTGCACACCTACATTTTCTTACATTGTAGACCTGCAACTAAAATGTACATCATCTGTAGAACTTTTTTTATTTGTAAGTCACATAATCGATTTAAAGGCATAATAGGCCCATTGATTATGAAAAGTTGACGAATGCTAGAGTAACTGGCACCTTGTGTAGTTAATAAGTACATAACCTTACATCCAAACGCGTATCAGCTTGTCTAATATCACTGCTGGTTACTAAGAAATGTCTAATTGAAATCTGCGGTCAAATAAATCAGTTGTTTACAGTTTCAAACCGCAGCCGCCGAAGCGGGTGTGATACAGATTATAGTGCACCAGACATTTTCACACGCATGACGCATGCATTCGTTCATGCAGTATCTCTGCGCACTGGTAGATCATCTCCTACTGTTACTGTTCAGCTGCTTGAAAGCTCTTGTCGCTGTATTGCGCTCAGCTGACACGCTAGCGATAATTGTAATGAACGTGGAATCCACGTACGAAACACGGACCACCACTGGCACCTCAATTTCATCTGGCGTCCAAAACATACGGGCCGAACAAATGTTTTACATCATCGCTTGACTCCTGGATGACATTTACGGCACGTAAATGATACGTTGATAAATATCAACAACCGATTTTAAGTCTTGTTTGTAATGTAACCAGCAGTGATATTGGACAAGCTAATAATTATACGCATTTGGATGTAAGGTTATGTACTTATTAACTACACAAGGTGCCAGTTACTGTAACATTCGTCAACATTGCATAATCAATGGGCCAATTATGCCTTTAAAATAAGTTTCTTGCATTTTAATTGTTTATAATCAGTATATTTGTTCTAATCTATGGATTTTTTTTAAAGTGGTTAAAGGGGTGTGAAAGTTATAATAATGGTATAATGAGAATCTTGTGTTTATTTATTACACTGATTTTGTGTTTAGATTCTACAAGGGCTTGCCACCACTTTGGGCAAGGCAGATACCATACACCATGATGAAGTTTGCTGCATTTGAGCGTACGGTAGAATTCCTTTACAAGTACGTTGTACCAAAGCCAAGGTCAGAGATGAGCAAACCTGAGCAACTAGTAGTTACTTTTGCTGGAGGCTATATCGGTGAGTAATTATAACTGGCCCTTCCATAATAGTCCTGACTCACATATAGCTCTGATGAGTGTATCTCAGCATCAAATGTATTAAAATAACCACAACTCGGACCTACAGAAAAGCTCGTGTGTGCGCACATCACGACATATTACGTGTTGCATTTTCCCGCAAAAAAAATATTAAGTCAGCAGCTGTGCTGTGTCTGAGTATTCTTTGCCGTATGTTACAGCTGGTGTATTTTGTGCAATCGTGTCCCACCCGGCTGACACCATCGTGTCCAAGTTGAACCAAGCCAAGGGTAGCAGTGCAATCACTATTGCTAAAAACCTGGGATGGTCTGGTAAGTTGGCAAGGACCCGTACCTTGTGTAGTAACAGAAATGCATTTCTCTGGTTCTAATCAGGAACCACATTGGTTATAGTGAGTGTCTAATTGTATAACCCAGTATTAACTATTGGGTCTTTTCTAATACTATTTGCCAAAGCACTGGAAGCTAACCCAGTGTAACTACTCTTAGGTGTCACATCTTCTAATATCTAACTAATCATGTCCAATTGCACGTGCATGTAAGAACCGAACACATTGGGTTAATAGCTGTTATTGAGATGTGCTCTCATCTTCGCTGTCACTGTGTGCAGGTATGTGGGCGGGCCTGGGAACGAGGATCATCATGATCGGTACGCTGACAGCCCTTCAGTGGTTCATCTATGACTCGGTAAAGGTTGTCTTCAGGATTCCTCGACCAGCTCCTCCAGAGATGCCTGCCAGCCTGAAGGCAAAACTTGAAGCTGCCAAGTAATTGGCTTTTGATTGTCTAGGCATTAGTAATCTTGCTGTACCTAGAAGACTATAGAAGTTGAGAGAGCAAGAGAGAGGGGGGGGGGGAGAGGAACAATTATTTAGTTTCATTCAGTGCCAAAAAAGCACATGCTGCTGCTTTATGTGGAAATCGATTTTACTCAGTTGCTTACGAAAGTGTTTTCACTGCTTTCCAAAATTTATACCTGTTGATGGAGGATTATGGTGTGGTTGAATAGGAAGTCATTTAGGTGCTTTACATGTTTTACTTAAAGGTATTTAATTGTTTAGCTCTTTCTGGTAAATGGTTGTTCAAAAGATATAACAGTGCGACACTAGTCATACTGTGAAGAGTTACCATTACGATGTTACTGGTGATGCTTAAGTATATGCATTAAGTTATGTATTATGCTTAAGGGATGCTTAAGTAAGAATTGCTGTTTCTGTATGAAACCGACTGAAACAGTTCAAATTGGCAATTTATACTAATCCATTCGTGCAAAATCCTGTGAAATGCATAAATCTGAGAATAAACGTGTTTGCAAAGCAAAGGATCTCCAGTCTAAATTAGCTAAGGTTAGCTTATAACATCTAGTCAGTAATACGCACATTAAAAATTAAAAAATATACACTGTTCTGTTATAATATATAGGTAAATTATAAAAATGTTGAGCAGCTATTGTTTTTTCTTGTATTGACAAGAATAATAAAACTCGTGTCAAACGGCCGTTTTTCGTATTGGTTTTGCTGTTATTAGCGGGGCCAAAGGCCCGCGAGAGCGGAGCACCATACATATAGGATGAGGGAATTTTTTGCTGGACTTCGTGGTCCGGGACCCCCCTACCCATAGTGCATTGCAGTTTTTCCATTGTTTCAATTTTCCCAATTATTTCAATTGTGCTAGTTCTTTTTAAAATTCATCGGTGTACATTCCACCACAACAACGTTTAGCTTCTGCCTGTCTTACTAAGAATAACTTGCAACAATTAACGACTTACCCGTAAGTTGTTTTCGTAAGTCGACACAAAAATTATGGTCCCAAAAGTGTCGACTTATGCGAGTTTTACTGTGAAAACTCTAGTGAAAACTCGAGTGACACGAGTGACACGAGTGGCACGAGTGACACTCGAGTGACTCGAAAACTCGAAAACTCGAAAATGGAATAAAATGGAGAGCAACATCAGGAGGTCCACAGCAAAAATAAATCCGTCTGACGTAGTATCATGATGATGTTGAATTTGAAATTGTTATTGCACTGTTTGCAGTAGATTAACGCAGAATATAATTTTGATGTGGCTTTATTTAAAAACTTAATTAACAGCGGTAAAGAAAACGTGAAGAAAATTTAGGACATCAAAGCGATGCATATTGACCTGTACGTCTATAGCCACACCAGCGATTAGTACACTACGGTACCAGACGAGACAAGACAAGACAAGACAAGACAGTGAAAGCAATGTTATTGTATTCAATATTTTAGGGCTTTATTCCGGTGTGTGTTATACTATAATACTACATGTGTACAGGGTCGGATCCAGGGTTGAGGCTAGACAGTATTTTTCCAGATTTTAAGGGCACATCCCCCAAAAAGGGCACACCACCCCACAGTGAGCGCCGTAAGGCGCGAAGCACATGGTGGGGGGTCTGGGGGGCCCAGATAATATTAATATATTATATATCATATAAGGAGAACGAAATGCCCCTAAAACGCAATGTATTCTCACGCAATGTATGTACACGCGCACACGCACGCACGCACGGACGCACACACGCGCGCACACACACACGCGCGCACACACACACGCGCGCACACAGACACGCGCGCACGGATACACACGCGCGCACATACACACGCACGTACGAGCGCAGCGAGCACGAGCGCACGCACACGCACACACACGCCCGCACACACGAACACACACACACGCGGGCACAGACGCACGCACACGCACGCACACGCGTGCATGCACACATGCGCACACACACGCACACACGCGCTCACACACGCACACACGCGCTCACACAAACACACGCACGTACGAGCGCAGCGCGCACGCGCGCACACACACGCGTGCACACACGCGCACACACACACGCACGCACGGACACACACACACGCACACACACGCACGCACACACGTGCGCACGGACGCTCACACGCGCACACACACGCGCGCACGGACGCACAAACGCACACACACGCACGTACGAGCGCAGCACGCACGAACGCACGCACATGCATACACCCGTAACTTCTATCCATTTGAGACATCATGGCATCATAGACATTAACATTAAACATTTTTACAACGGCGTCGGAACAGCACTTATATTATAACTATCTAGCTGCCTGGTTTTTGTTATATTAAGTGAAAGATGATTTCTCATTCACAAAAGACACAAAAGCCTGCGTATATTATAGCTATATGGCTTTCTTTTTGTTACCTTTATGCTAAATGCACTTCTCATAGCCGATGATTTAATTCTCACTTTAGATGACAAATAAACTGACTAATTTTCCAGTATGTTTATATTCATAATTGAGCTATTCTATTTTAATAATATTTTTTTACCATTTTCATAATTAACGTGTATGTAAGAGTAAAAGAATGCTGCATGAAACTACTGCACTAAAACTTATAGTGAAACAATAAAATATTAATACAGTGTAAGTGAAAGACTATACTTTCGTCGACGATACCTTTACCTTTACATCAGAGAAAATTACAGACAAGTGCACGTATAAAACGTAATTAGTTTACTTTGCAAACCTCATATAATTTTACGCTTTATTGTTAGCTTCTAAGAATTGTATCGTGGAAATAGAATTTCCTTCCCGATGCCTCCGTACAAACAACATGGCCGCTTCACAAACGCGACAGCTTCTTGTTTTTCGCGCGGAGCTGTCGCCTCAAAATCTTTCCGGATGCCGACTTGGGAATCTTGCTGACAAACTCGATGCCTCCTCGTAGCCGCTTCTGCGGCACTACGTGCTCTCGCAGGTAGCTGTGCAGATCCTCCGCCAGGAGGCGCTGGTCGCTGCGCACGACGTACGCCTTGAGGAGTTCTCCAGCTTCCTCGTCCGGGACGCCGATGACGGCCGCGTCGGCCACGCTAGCTGCCGCTTGATAAAAAAGCACACATATACCAGGCAAATATAAAACTACATATACGTTGCAAATATAAGATACATGCACTTACACGCACGCACGAATACATTACGCACACGAGCATACACACGCACACGTGCATACACGCGCACTAACACAGACACGCACACGCACGCACACGCACGCACACACACACACGCTGCTTCCTAGGTTTGCAACGGGGAGGCAGGTAAACAGGAAATCAGCATTTTGAGATAGCGTACGTGTATACCAACTATTATTACCCGGACTGCGAACACATAGTCAGCACACGCATCGCGTTACCGACGAGCAAACCTTATATTATACAAACAATCGCCGAACGTACACGAACAACTAACACAGTGATCCATCTAGTTGTCGTCGGGCGTCATGACAACGGCCGCCGATGTCGCGCTGTCGCTAGTGTCGCGCGGGAATGGCAGTGTACCCTTTGTTATAGAGGGGACTACCGCAGCGTGAGGGCGGTGTAGTGGGTTACTAGTGGGCGTCGTTGGTGCGCGCGTCGCTGCAGTCACACCTGTGCTGGTGTGACAATTACAGGTGTGACAATTACAGGTGATGTGAGATGACGGGTGATACGCTGCGATCGTCGCCGGCGGCCGCGGATGCGCCGTCGCTGTCGTCCCGATTAAAGCGGACGACGCGGGAGTGGGCGCGCAATACGACCTTACACGGAGTAAAGCACGCGGCCGACAGCGACAACATCATCCTCAGGTAGACGCATATATACGCATTACTCAGCTATTAGCGATCACATAGTCCTCTAGTTGAACGCAGCCTTCCGTACTATCAGCAGCATGGCTTTATTCTACTTGTTCAAGCCCGCGTCGCGACAATAACCGTTTTCCCATTTATACATCAGCATAGCTCTACCTGTCAAGTCCTCCGCAGCAGGAGTGTATATTATTATTATTATTGTTATTATTATTATTATTATTAATGTTGTTGTTGTTGTTGTTGTTTATTGCTGCGGAGCAAACGGTTAAACAGGTCGAGCTAGCATCAGTAATAGCCGAACCGAAGTGTCCTAGCTATAATACAAACTTTGCAGTACTAATTAACTGACCGCTTAAATGAAGCCCAGCGTACGTAAGGTTTATTGCAGGTAACTGTGGCGCATCAGTCGCTCGATCGGTACAGGTAAAGTTTATTGTTAAAGTTAGGTTAATATTTTTGCAATTTGGTTACAGGTTATTATAAGTAAGGTTAAGGTTTATTGTAGAATAAGGGTATGTACTATTAAACGTTAGGTTTAAGGTGATTGTATACTATTAGGTTATGGACTATTATATGGGTAAGGCTTATTATAAATAAGGTGATGGGTTATTTTAATAATATTAGGTTAAATATTATTGTAAGGTTAATGTTTGTTATAAGTAAGGTGAAGGGTTATATTAATCTTAGGTTAAGGATTATTGTAAGGTTGAAGTTTACCATAAGTTTGTTCATCTGTGCCGGCAGAATTATATGGACGCTATCCATAGTTGGCTGCTGGAGCTTTCTCATATGGCTGATGCATGTGCGGGTGAGCACGTGGCTCTCATCGCCCTATATAAGCATCATCAACTACGAATACGAAAAGGAAGGTATAGAGTTCCCCGCCGTTACCATCTGTAACAACAACAAGCTGAATAAAACCAAGATGGAGAAGTTCTACCCGGACGTCGCTAAAATCGGAATGGTGCGACTTCACCGATTTTCTATATTTCGCTATATATCGGCTATTAATTTCGTGTGTGGTTTTTATTCAAGAAATTTGGCGATTTATTACTGCGTGATTGGTTGGTGAAAGAGTAGACCTATAAGTGTATATATTCTAGTGTAGATAATAGTGATAGAGATATGTGTAACCCGTCTTATTTTATTGCGGAATGTTACGTAGGCACAAGGAATTAATTCTGTAACGAATCATCAACACCTCAGAACATAAATGTGTACATCACTATTTCACACCCGCACGCACATACGTGCGCACGCACGCACGCACGCACACACGCACACACACACACGTATGCACACATGCTCGCACGCACGCAGGCACGCAGGCAGGCACGCAGGCACGCACGCACGCACGCACGCACGCACGCACGCACGCACGCCGCTGTGCAGGGACACAGACAGCGTTGGTTAGAACTGCGTTTTACATTAGGACAGCGCGCATCTGCACAACGTGAAATTTCAATGTTCGAGCACCTGACACATGTCTCGTTTATAACTTATGTTAACTTATGTTGCTCGTGACTTATGTTAACTTATGTTACTCGTTAACTTATGTTAACTTATGTTATTCGTGACTTATGTTAACTTATGTTACTCATTAACATATGTTAATTTATGTTACTCGTGACTTATGTTAACTTATGTTACTCGTTAACTTATGTTAACTTATGTTACTCATGACTTATGTTAACTTATGTTACTCGTGACTTATGTTAACTTATGTTACTCATGACTTATGTTAACTTATGTTACTCATGACTTATGTTAACTTATGTTACTCGTGACTTATGTTAACTTATGTTAACTTATGTTACTCGTGACTTATGTTAACTTATGTTACTCGTGACTTATGTTAACTTATGTTACTCGTGACTTATGTTAACTTATGTTACTCGTGACTTATGGTAACTTATGTT